AGCAGGAATCCTGTACGATAACATTATAACAACTCGTGGAACCAATTCAAATTTAGAGTAACGATCTACTTTACTAGGATAGAATTTGGTGGCAGAATATAAACGTGTAGGTGAGTGTGATTTCCTCTAAATTTATTATGAATCCCAACAATAGATTTAATAAATATTTGTCAGAATCCGTATTCACTAATTAAAAATATTATACTAAAAAACCCATACAAAATTGGCCCATAAAATAAAAGACAAATTCCAGATAATTTGTAATCGTGAGAATGAATTATTTGGGATGCCTACACCCACATGAAATCGCTCATTATTTGGGATGCCTAATGGTAGTAATGGGACTCTTCAAGTTTTCTCCTACTCCTTATCTCTTGTATTATATCCTAACACGAGTTCATTTCTCAACTTAAATGAAATGAATATTACCAAAAACTACTTTTAACATCCTAAATAATCCAAAGTCAAATAAAATCCAATTTACAAACTCTAATCTAAATAGAGACCAGAAAATTTTTAGTAGTAGCCCAGTAGGAACAAATGTCTCCAAATATTCTTAGCACCTGAAAATGCAAAGGTTATAACAGTTCCTCGATTTTAGCCCTTTATGATCAATTAGGAGAAAAGCGATGCTCGGTGTCTCTTTATATTTTTAAAAATAAATTAAACTAAATTTAAGAAAAAATAAATCATGAAATGGGTAATTACTTCAAGAGGATAAGTGGCTTGAGTCAAAAAAGACATTGGGAGATGAATGATTTAAACTTCTGAGTAAAATAAAAAAGGATAAAAAACATTATATAAAAATGGAAACCATGGTTAGTAAAAAGGTGTCCCTTTAATATAAGGGTGTAGGTAACTGGTAGTAACATAATACGTGTAAAAATGTCTCTTCCACGTCATCACATCACACTCCTCTAATGCAACTCTAGATTCTTGGTTGTTATTTGCACAAAGGATGTGATATTACAATAAAAAAACTCAGATATTCATATCAAGTTGTAAAGCCAACCATATACCAGGCAAAATTGAATTACTTAACCATGACAGTTGAAGAAACAAAAAGAAAATATAGAAGCTGCTTTTGGTGAGATACTATCACTACTACTATACCACTACAAATCAACAGAATGGGCAAAGCTATTCGCTTAAGTGGGGAACAAAACCTGATAACTTCATGTGACTGGTTGGAGAAATTGTTTGAAGGACTGTACACTGGCAGCATGAGGAAGGCTGGATATGTTGGCTGTAACTTCCTTAAATTTCTCTGCCAGAAATGACACATCAAGATTTGAACATCTTAACAAAGTTTCAAATGACGTGATTCTGACAGTGAAGTGTGAACTCTCTTCCTACGAGCAGCCAAGCTTTGTAGGCTAGGGATGCAGAGAGACGATTTAACCTTGGAATAAATCGTTGAATATTGAAAAACTCTATTCAAAGTCGTATCTTAGCTCACTCTTTTACAACCTCCTTCAGAAAAATTATATCATCACGTGGATGTGCTTCTACCACCTTAACTATTACTTCATCCCCTATCTGCGTTCCAACAGAGATCCAGGCAGAAGCTTGAAACCCAACCTGCAAACCAAAATCACATTATGAATTCAAAATAATAAAATATCACAATTTACAACTTTTGACCACATTAAACATGGGGCAAGACACTAATAAAAGCAGCACCTCTGATGACTAAACATAGCCATTTAAGACAAGAGACTGAAAAGAAGGTTGAGAAATATTATAATACCAATTTTAATATCTGTATTATTTAAGAACCATTTTTCCACGGAAAATATTTTTATCAAACTATAGAAATTACCTTCAAACAAAACAACCTTGAGAAAATTGTGCACTGGCATAAATAATGATTCTAAGAACAGCCAAATTTAATACAGTTATTTTTTTATTAATCATTATGTTGTATTCCTAAAATCATTATGTTGTATTCTTCCCAGTATAATGTGATCACTAAAGTAGCCTCCCTATAATCATTATGCTGTATTCCCCCCAGATTAATAACATGATTGACATTACATTTCACCTCTGGTCTCAAAAGGTAAAGGCATCCCTAACTAACCACAGATGCAGCTGTTTTTAGGCATCTAGGCCATCTTGGATGTTTTATACATTGAGATTTCGTACTGGGACAATCATGGAATGCCAAACAGATTATATAACAGGAACCATCAGTTGCCTAGTCCTTACCTCAACCAACAATAGAGCTGCAATTCGATCCTTCATAAATTTAAGGACCAATGCACGATATGTTCTCTCTTTAGGTTGTCTTCGTAAGTATTCCAAAATCCAATACCGAAGACTAATGCTGCCGAGTTTCCTCACTGTTCTAACATTCTCATTTACAACAGCTGCAATCCCTTCAAGCTTACCAGCAGTAAAGGGTAGAGGCTCGCCTCTAAGGAATGCCTTTACCTAAATAAAACATTCCAGAAATAACCAAAACAGAGACAGAAAAATGTCTTAGAAGAAAATGCCAAGATATTGTAGTATTTATAGATACCAATTATACTTTACAGAAACACTTTTTAAAGGGGGTTAGAAAGCAAAACCCACAAATAACTATATTCAGTAACTTGCAAATCCATACATATAAACTAAAACATGAATTGTTAAAATCACAATTGCATTACCTTTAACTAGATTAACTAGGAAGAGTGTTGTCTTTGTGTGGGATAGTGTAAGAGTAATTTCCAAGCTCTTAAGAAAAGATTGACTAGTGTTAATACTACTAGATTTTAGTAAGTCTTTTGTGGTACATAGTAGTGCTTCTAAGATGGGTTTGGGTGGAGTGTTGATGCAAGAAGGAAAGGTAGTAGCTTATGTTTCTAGGCAATTGAAAATTCACGAGAGGAATTACCTTATCTATGACCTTAAGATAGCGGTTATGATATTTACACTAAGATTTGGAGACACTACCTATATGATTCTAAGCTTGAGGTATTTAGTGATCTTTAGAGCCTTAAATATCTTTTGACCAAAGGAGATAGTTGGAATTTCTTAAGAACTAGGATTTTAATCTTAGTTGTTATCTAGGTAAAGCCAATGTGGTGATAAAGAAAGAGGGAGACGCGAAAAAGATTTGGGGGAAAAAGAAAAAGGAAAACAGTAGAAAGGAAGTACCTGGTACTCCTCCTCAGAAAACAACCCTAACAATGAGTGGGTTACCGGAAACGGCGGCGGAAACAAGGAAAAAGGAGACGGAGGACAAACAGGAGCAAGAAGGCGAAGAGAACCAACGCGCACAAGAAGTTGAAAGAGTGAAAAATGAGTAAAGTGAAAAGGGAAGAGGCGCGAGAAAGAGAAAAAGGTCCTTCCCAAATTCAAAATGGCCACGACACGTGTCATCCTAGGGGCACGCCTGACAACACATTAATTGCAAGACCATCATTACATAACCGTCATTTCCCTTAACGCGCCACTCGCACATCTATAGGAAATGAACAGTTGTGACACATAGCGCCCCAACGAACAAACGTACGCGAAAGGTCACTTTCCCCCAGCGAGCTCGGTCTTAACTCCTTGACCTACGGTCTTCAGAGCTCGAAGGGCTAGTGTACTATCCGTACTGCGAAACCGAGCTCCGAGCTCGGCATCACAGCGCAAGATGACCTCGGGCACGCGCCAGGCGACGTCAGCTCGGCATTTAAGTGAATCGTAATTGATTCCCGAGGATCTCGTCCCAGATGAGATCCGTTATCTAATCACGTTATATCTTATCTCAGGCCCAAGGCCCAAAGCAACCCTAAATCACACTAAGGTACGTGCATTACATATACGAGACTCATACTCATACAAACCCTAACTTTGGCATCGGAGTCTCTTTTGCAGGTACCACCCCCATCTTGGAGCATCAACGTACCAGTGAAGGAGGCTCATCGATCTTACTTGGAGGATCATCCCTACGGCAGATCTCTGGTAAGAACAGCAAGAAACTTTCCTGCGAATTTTTTTCGCAAGAAATTTCGCAGGAAATTTTCCTGCGAATTTTAAAATTTGTAAAAAAATATTATCCACGAAGGTATTACCTGTAGATAAAATTTCGCAGAAAAATTTGCAGGAACAACGTTTCCTGCGAATTTTTATAAAAAATTTGCAGAAAAAGTTGCATGTAATAAGAGAAATTCTAGTAGTGTGCTTGAATGAATGATTAATTTCAGTTTTAAAATTGTAATTATATGATTTGAGATTTTCGTGGGTTCCTATGGGAAACCCTATGAGAAATAGACAAATTTTGCATGTTATCTAAATATAAATGTATAATTTGATATCTCTATGGGTTCCTACGGGAAACCCTATGAGAAACAGACAAAATGCAAATGTTTTCTGTTTTATCTCCTGAGTTTTCTGTTGTGTTCTTTGATGTTTGCAGAGTGTAAATATGTGTTTAATTTTAAAAATAGACATGTTTTAATATGGATTAAAGTGCTCTGCGAAAATAGTGAATGACATGATATAATGTGATATGATAATGAAATATGATAATGTGATATGAGAATGCATAGAGTATTGATTGACATGCATCATATGCATAAATGTTTTTTAAGGGTACGATATGGAATACACCGCCAGAGAAGGCCCCCTAGTGTAAAAGCTTTGGGGATTAGTCCTTAGGGATAGCTCGGTTTGTAAGTCCCAATCTCGCCCATTGTGTGCATGGGATGTATCTTGCGCGACTTAGCTATCCCGACGAGACTCTGGTAGTATGTCCTTCTAGTGAGAGTGCGCAGAGGGTGTGACCTGACATGTACTCCTAGACTACTCTTCGTGTATTGCTAGCGGCAATATGCCATGTGATATGTTACTGGCGCCACATGCATGATAAAATGTAGTCTGTGTCCATACATGTGCATTTTAATGTTATATGAAAAATTGATATGTCTTGGATGAGTGAAATGTGATGTTATTATTAATTTATCTATGTTAAACATGTTTTGTTTGTGTATGGCTATATCCGGCGTATATTTCTACACCGTGAGCCAGAGTGAGATGTTTCTCACTCCCTTTTCTCGTGTTTTTTTTCCTTGACTGTTATACAGGTAATTTTCAGCATGAGGTTGAGGATGTTGGTGATGAAGCTTAGACTTCAATGTTGGGATTTGCTCTGATAGAACATGTGACATCAGGATATAGATAGGATAGATTAGAATGTTTTATTAAATTATTTAGGGAGACCTTATATTATTTCTTTGTAATTTTCGCTGAGTAAGATACTGTTTAAGTTATGGATGTGGTACCCTCTATTTAAACATGTTTGACATTTCAATTTTGAGAAAAAAATTATGTTATTTAAATTGTGTTATTTGTATTATGGTATGTGGGATAGAGGGTGTCACATTAAGTGGTATCAGAGCAGGTCGATCCAATCGGCCGTGAGTTATATTTATCATGATTTTGTTGTGTACTCTGACAGTGTTTGTTTGGTGTGTACTTTGATGATGCTTTGCTTGATAATGATGATGATGTTCTCCTTGTGTTGATATTATTGAGTTTTATACTGTTAGATTATATTGTAATTAGAGGAATGATAGATAGTGTTAGCTAATATCATTATGACTGTTCTTTTTTATTCTTATGATTGCTTATTTGTTTGATACTTCTTGCTTATGTAAGAAGTAGTGGATGGGTGGTATCACTCGTGTTGTGAGCATATGTGTAAGTAATAGTAGACGAGATATTGTGTTAATCAACTAGAAACTATTGGGACCTTAGATCTGGTTGAGACATTGATTTGTCGAGTGTATTGAGAGTTTATGGTTGATGGAGTTTCTAAAATCTATAGTTGCAGCGATTGAATCCTAAGAGGTTATATGTAGAGAATTGGAGTTGAGTGTTCTCAATGAAAGGTTGAAAGGTCAGTGATTTTCTTGAGTTTTGGTGCTTAGATGTTAACCTTTATGGTTTAGGTAGCATGTGAGTTTTATTTTCTAAGTCTTTTGTATTGAATATGTGAGTTGTTTTTGTTTAGGATTGTAGTGGGAAGCTTGAATATGAATTTGAGGTGTGAGTTTGGAAGGGTTGAGGTATTTTTGTGGGATGTTAGTACACTATTGTTGTCTGGTGTAGAGGATATTTTTACTGCAGTTTTGTTGTGCTAGTATGAGTGCTTTATTGACAGATTTAGATTTTATGGTCTTCATAAAAGTTGTAGCCTTGGACGTTATCTTTCCAATGGAACTGGAATCAGGTAAAACGGAGGTATAGAACTCCAGTTATGGTTGTTTTAGTGAACAAAGGTCTAGCTGTAAGCGCTGAATATATCTGCTACGGGTTTTGAAATGTTTAGCTAAGAATATGATCTTTTTAGAATCTCATTTCTTCATAGGAGTTGTAGCTTATTCTCTTAGCTTTCTTTTAAGATAGGTTTGAGATCATTTGGATGAGTATAACTCTCTAGGTATCATTTTCTTTGACAGTTGTTGAAGGGATATGTATGGTGTTATGATATTTTTGAGTTGTTAGGCAATGCAAGGATAAAAACTAATGTTGTCATGATGTTTTGAGATGTTGTCATGTGGATTGAGAGGTTGTTTAAGTTTGTATGATGCTATGTGGTAAAAGTGATTCATGTACATGCAATATGGAGTAAATGGGGATTGATTCGTACATGCTTAAGGATGATATATATCGAATGTTTGAAGTAGGTGTTCTAAGATGATTTGTTATGTGTGTATGTTGATACGAGGATTAATTAGTGGATGTTTGTGTGTTTAGTAAGGTTGACTTCAAGGTGTGATATCATCAAATTGGAGTTGAGAGTAAGGATTTATCCAGACAGCTTTAGACTAAGTTATCTAAGTATGATTTTTGATTGTATAAGACATGTTTTCTAGGTCCTGTAATTTTAGTGGAGGTATAATGTAGATCTATCTAAGGTAGAAGTTGTACTTAAGTGGGAGATACCAAAGTCAGTTAGTGAGGTTAAGAGTTTTCTTAGATTAGCTTATTATTATAGGAGAATTATTGAGGAAATTTCTAAGATTGCATTACCTTTAACTAGATTAACTAGGAAGAGTGTTGTCTTTGTGTGGGATAGTGTAAGAGTAATTTCCAAGCTCTTAAGAAAAGATTGACTAGTGTTAATACTACTAGATTTTAGTAAGTCTTTTGTGGTACATAGTAGTGCTTCTAAGATGGGTTTGGGTGGAGTGTTGATGCAAGAAGGAAAGGTAGTAGCTTATGTTTCTAGGCAATTGAAAATTCACGAGAGGAATTACCTTATCTATGACCTTAAGATAGCGGTTATGATATTTACACTAAGATTTGGAGACACTACCTATATGATTCTAAGCTTGAGGTATTTAGTGATCTTTAGAGCCTTAAATATCTTTTGACCAAAGGAGATAGTTGGAATTTCTTAAGAACTAGGATTTTAATCTTAGTTGTTATCTAGGTAAAGCCAATGTGGTGACCGATGCTTTGAGTAGGAAACATTTATATTCATCTTCCCTTATGATTAGAAAGATGAATCTGTTGGCTCAATTTAAGGAAGATGACAGATAAAGAATATTGGATTCACAAATATGGCAACTTGGCAGGGCCGTGTAACATGCAAGGCCATATAGACACTTGCCTAACTTCCTTAAATTTCTCTGCCAGAAATGACACATCAGGATTTGAACATCTTAACAAAGTTTCAAATGATGTGATTCTGACAGTGAAGTGTGAACTCTCTTCGTACAAGCAGCCAAGCTTTGAAGGCTAGGGATGCAGAGAGATGATTTACCCTTTGGAATAAATCGTTGAATATTGAAAAACTCTATTCAAAATCGTACCTTAGCTCACTCTTTTACTACCTCCTTCAGAAAAATTATATCATCACGTGGATGTGCTTCTACCACCTTACCTATTACTTCATCCCCTATCTGCGTTCCAACAGAGATCCAGGCAGAAGCTTGAAACCCAACCTGCAAACCAAAATCACATTATGAATTCAAAATAATAAGATATCACAATTTACAACTTTTGACCACATTAAACATGGGGCAAGACACTAATAAAAGCAACACCTCTGATGACTAAACATAGCCATTTAAGACAAGAGACTGACAAGAAGGTTGAGAAATATTATAATACCAATTTTAATATCTGTATTACTTGGATTATGAGTTATCTATCAGTTCTTTCTAACTTCTAAGAATCATTTTTCCACGGAAAATATTTTTATCAAACTATAGAAATTACCTTCAAACAAAACAACCTTGAGAAAATTGTGCACTGGCATAAATAATGATTCTAAGAACAGCCAAAATTTAATAAAGTTATTTTTTTTTTTTATTAATCATTATGTTGTATTCCTAAAATCATTATGTTGTATTCTTCCCAGTATAATTTGATCACTAAAGTGGCCTCCCTATAATCATTATGTTGTATTCCCCCCAGATTAATAACATGATCGACATTACATTTCACCTCTGGTCTGAAAAGGTAAAGGCATCCCTAACTAACCACAGATGCAGCTGTTTTTAGGCATCTAGGTCATCTTGGATGTTTTATACATCGAGATTTCGTACTGGGACAATCATGGAATGCCAAACAGATTATATAACAGGAACCATCAGTTTCCTAGTCCTTACCTCAACCAACAATAGTGCTGCAATTCGATCCTTCATAAATTTAAGGACCAATGCACGATATGTTCTCTCTTTAGGTTGTCTTCGTAATATTCCAAAATCCAATACCGAAGACTAATGCTGCTGAGTTTCCTCACTGTTCTAACATTCTCATTTACAACAGCTGCAATCCCTTCAAGCTTACCAGCAGTAAAGGGTAGAGGCTCGCCTCTAAGGAATGCCTTTACCTAAATAAAACATTCCAAAAATAACCAAAACAGAGACAGAAAAATGTCTTAGAAGAAAATGCCATGATATTGTAGTATTTATAGATACCAATTATACTTTATAGAAACACTTGTAAAAGGGGGTTAGAAAGCAAAACCCACAAATAAAACATTACTTCAGTAACATGCAAATCCAAACATATAAACTAAAACATGAATTGTTAAAATCACATCTTCTTGGCATTCTTTGCATGAAAAACCCAATTAATATTTATACTACATGCATATATATATGCCACGATGCATTTATTTTCCCATCTATAAGTGACTCGTTCACGATGCAGTCTAAAATCAATTACAAGAATGTGTGCTGCCGAGTAGTGGATTATCGAAGGAAAATTGGAGAAGCACAATTAGATGATTCATTTTGGTGGCAAAATGTGTGAGCTTACCCTTAGAAGCATTGAATTGAGTATGTCGAAAGTGACTAGTGAATTAATGGATGGGATTAGAGAAACCTCCATAACACAAGGCATTCAATCTTTTCTCTTCAATTAGGTTCAACTGATCATAGCGAGCTTGAACCCATTATGCTTCCTCAAGTTTGGTTTCGGCCAATACTCTTAGAGAAGGTATCTCAACCTCAATGGGAATGAATGCTTCCATACCATAAACCAGAGAATACAAAGTTGCCCTAGTAGAGGTGCGAGCGAAAAAAGCATTTCGTGTCAATCCTTATAGGTGACCACCATCTTTTGAATAATCCTTTTAATATTCTTGTTTTCTGCTTCTATTGTCCCATTCATCTTGGGACGACATGGTGAAGAATTATGACGTTGAATCTTGAAATATTCACACAACTCTTAGACAACCCATATCTGCAAATTAAATCTCTTTTAATGAATTTGACCACCACATTCCTTGTCACACTAGCATAAGAAGCTACCTTAACCAATAACATCAAGGATAAAACAATGCCTTTTTGATGCCTTTGGTTCATTTCTCTTCTTTTCCTTTTCCATTGTTTAGATGGTATCATAAACAAGCTGAATTAAATGTGAACATTGTGTTGCCCCTGTTTTGATGGTGAGCCTTGTTTGAGGTAATTGAAGAAAATTTTCACTTTTAGACTCAAATTTGGGTGGCAAGTGATATATATATTTTGGAGATAGAGAAACATGGTCATATATCATTTCAAATCTTGACTGCTTATTTTTTAAAGGTTAATCCTAAGACAAAACTTAATGGACTCCATGTTACTCCTTTTTTTTTATCCTTTCTTTTTTTGTTTGTCCTAACTTTTTCTTAGACCGCCCTTTTGGGTTTCCAGTCTAACGGACTTTACATTTTTTCACTTTTTTTTTTCTGCTCATAAGACTTGTCTCCATTAAATGTGGTAGATGGTTGGACAAATACTCATAAAATGATAAATTTGCCCCGATAAGAAATCTTCAAATTTCTATTGCCAAACTTTCTAATTGAGAATCATCCAACAGATTTGACTTTTTATGAGGACAAACTCTTTATTTTTGGAAGAATAATGAGGAAACTATGAGATGTAATGGGACAAAGACAATTTATGACAATGAAGATAACAACACAACTTGTTATGCAAGTTAATGAAATAAGTACTTCAAAAGGTTAACAATGGTTTTAAAACCATGTCAATTGACAAGTTAATTTGTCAAAGAGCTCATCTTCTTGATTGAGAATTAAATGTAAGTGAGAACAATAATTTCATGTTATTCCCCATTTTTCTTTGTTTCCTGTTTTTTTCTTTTTCTTTTGAGACATTGCATAAATTTGTTGCTTGACATCCTTTTTAAAAGAAAATAATCAAATTAGATAGTTATTTTTTTTGTAAATTACATGAATGAGCAATCAATTAGACCTTACAATACCCTTCAACCAACCTCGCTGCAACAAATACATTCATTGGCACACCACCAGTCACCATCTCATCCTTGAGCTTCAATGCCTCTGCGAAATTCCCCTGCCTAACACAAACACCAATCACAGCTTCATATCTACCCTTAGACGGCACCCACCCGAACTCCCTCATCTCCTTCAACAGCTCGCACGCCAAACTCACCTTCAACCCCTTACAAACAGCCTGGATAGCAATACTATACGCCGCCGCATTAAGCTTCATCCCTCTACCCACAGCCACCCCAAAATACCTCTCAGCCTCCTTAAACCTCCCTCCCTTCAAACACGCACGCATTAAAACATGTACAGTATAGTGATCGCCATGAATTCCTCTCTCAACCATTTCATCATACACACGGCATGCATCATCCACCATGTTTCTCTTAACCATTGCGGTCAAAAGAATGTTCACAATAGGAACCCAGGGGAGCACACTGTGCTCCAACATGGCTCTAAAACACTCAACAGCATCATAGACCTTATTAGCTCTAACATAACTATTCAACAGGTAATTGAAAATCCTAGAATCAGATTATTCAAAACCGTACCTTCCCGCACACTCCACTAACATTTCCACCAGAACCTTCGCAACAGGGGCTGAATCTCCAAAGACATAGCTATTGAGCAAATACTTGGCATCTCCGTGAGTGTTGGGGCACGAGGCAAGGATCTGAAGCAACAAGCATAAAACATCAGCGGTTTTCACGAACACTCGTTGTCTCTCTATGCCTTTGAAGAACCTCAACGCCGATGCGGGGTCCCCCTTGTGCCGCAAGAGGGTGTCCAAGACCTCATCTTGTGACGGAACGACCCAAGAGGGTTCGGGGGCGATTGTCTCGGGAAAATTGAAGCTTGAAGCGATTTTCCCGGGAAAATTGTCAAGGGCAGGGGTTGGTGGTGGTGGGTCGGTGGGAAGGACGAGGTTTGAGTAGCGTTGCGGGAAAGGGGGAAGAATCTTCGTGGGGATTGAGAAAAGGATGCTCCTCCTGGGAAACCTCGTTGGCATTGTTAGAGAGAATAGGGAAACAGAACAACAACAACAACAACACAAGGTGTGGTGAATTCAAACTTAGAAAAGAACCGATTCTTTCACCGTTTCCGTTAACTTCGGCTAACAATTCTTCCGCTGCTGCTTACTTGAGTAGTAGAGACGGCGCTATCTGAAACTCTATGATTTAATCCGAACGGAAACACGGTCCCAAATTTTAAAATATGAATATTTTATAATAAATTTATTATTAAATAATTATTTAATTTAATATTTTATAATTTAAATTACTTTTTAAAATTTCTAGAATATATTTCGGACAATTTACTCGGAGGATGAAGAATTTTTCTCATGATTTATGTATTCAAATGATTGTCGATGCATAATCTAAAGAACCAATAAGTAACATAACCTAATTAATTTAAGTTTTAACTCTTTTTTTTTTTTAATATGCTCTCAAGTTCAACTCAAAAGTTTGACACATATTTTCTTTTTCCACATGCAATTATTTTTATTTTATTTTATTTAAATAAAATATTTTAATTATATTATTAACTCAATCAATTAAATTAATTGAATAAGAAAATATAATTTTTTTATCAATATTTTATTTTATTTTATTTATAAAAAATGAGATGTTACATTCTTAATTATTAGAGTTTTTTTTCTAATTTTCTCACCCCTAAATCTCCCATAAATAACTAATAACATGATATACAACATCAAATCAAGTAATAACATATATGAAAAAAAAATAAGTTATAAATTTATAAGTTGAACTTTTTAACTTGTGGTAATAGTATGAAAACATTATAAATTTGGGGTTGTTTTGAAATATTTTGTGTTTAGGATTGTCAATGCTAGATGTCACTAATCAATTTAACGACATCCATATCATGCCCTTTTTTTTATTTGTCTCACAATAGTTTCTTGTAGGATATGTTAATTTTTTTCTCTTTCAAATGTGACGCAAGAGCTCGTTGAGAGAATTCTTTTTATACATGTGCCGCTTTTGGTCATTTGCAACACATGTTTATTTTATTTTTTACAACACATGATACTTGGTTACCATAAACGGGGTTGCGTGGAAGATGCACAAAATGTCATGAATGCTATTATTAAAGGTGGTTTAAAATCAAATGTCATTACATACACTATTTTGGTGGATGGATTTTTTAAAAAGGGTGATTGTGAGCACGCATTTGGTGTGTTTGATCAAATGGTGGCTGCAGATATAGTACCTGACTACACATTTAACACCATTATAAATGAATTGTCTAAAAATGGCTGGGTGTCTGAGACAAAGGATAAGTTGGACACTTTTATGAGGCAGGGTTTTATTCCCACATCCATTGATGGATCTACGTTGAGAGTAGTGCGGCACTTGCCCCCACTACTATTTCACATGTACATATTTTTTATTTTAAAAATAATATATTTTAAAAAATAAATATTATATTTTAATAAAATAAATATGTATGTTTAAATTATCATATGTATAAAATATAGATTTGGAGAAAGGATTTATTTATTTGATGTCTATCAAATTTTTAAAAAAGATTAATTTTCTTATGTGATAAAAAATATTCCTTAATAATGAATCAATTTTTTTAAAAGGTTTAATTATTATATATATATATGTTTTAATATTCACATATATAATGTAATATATTACAAAATTTAATTTTTGATAAAATAAAATTTTTAATATGCATATTTACCTTTTGTATTTTCTATTTATTGTATATGTTGATTAAAAAAATCAAAATAAGAAAAATCGAAACACGTAGTATTTTCTATTTATTGTATATGCTCCATTTATAATTGTTATTATAAAATATATATTAAAATAAATTATCATCTAAAAAATATATATTAAATATTAAAAACATGTTTATATCATAAATAAATTAAACTTTATTTTTATAAAATTTAACATATTTATTTTATATTTTTAATAGTGTTAAATTATTATTAAGTAGGTCTTAGAATTATAGTTCTAACTAAACATTTAAAAAATGTCTATGATAGATAATTAAGTCTTACTTAAGATATATATTTTTGAAGAAAGTTAGGTTCAAACATATTAAATTATAATAAAATTTAGTCTAATCTAATTTATTTTCATCTTTACTTATACTTATGATCGTAAATATAAAAACTTGTAAAAAATAATTATGATATATATATATATATATATTTATGCTTTTAAAAGTTATATATGTAAATTTTTAATACTATAAATATATGAATAAGTATTGCCCCCACTATTTAAAATTTCTGGATCCGTCACTCCACATCTATGACTTATAATAGCATCATAGATGGATTTGTCAAGGAAGGTGCAGTTGATTCTGCAAAGTCTGGATATGGAGAGATGTGTGAAAGTGGAATTTCACCAAATGTCGTCACCTATACTTGTTTGGTTAATGGATTTTGCAAAATAATAAGATCGGTCTTGCTTTGAAAATGTATGATGATATGAAAAAGAAGGGTTTGGAACTGGATATTACTGCATATAGTGCTCTCATTGATGGTTTCTGCAAAATGCAAGACATGGAAAACGCAGGCAAATTATTCTGTGAACTTTTGGAGGTTGGTTTGACTCCAAACACAATTGTTTATAACAGCATGATTAGTGGCTTCCAAAATTTGAATAATATGGAAGCATCCCTCAACTTGTACAAGGAGATGATAAATAATAAGATTCCATGTGACTTGCAAATATATACCTCACTGATTGGTGGACTTCTAAAAGAGGGGAAATTAAATTTTGCCATAGATTTTACTCAGATATGCTTTCCAGGGGTATTGTGCCTGATATGTTCATGTACACTGTTTTGATAAATGGACTCTGTAACAATGGACAACTAGAAAATGCGGGCAAGAATATTCTAAAGGAAATGGATGGGAATAATATAACTCCTTCTGTTCTTCTTTATAACACTTTAATTGTTGGACATTTTAAGGAGGGGAATCTGCAGGAGACTTTTAGACTGCATGACGAGATGCTTGACATAGGTCTTGTGCCTGATGACACTACATACGATATTCTTGTAAATGGAAAGTTGAAAAGATCATACGCTCCTGTTGATTCTTAATCCACACAAAAGGATTTTGGGCAGCACACATTCTACTAATGAGTTTTTTTGAAAACTGAGTCTTGCAGAAAGTATTGAATGGTTTGAAATTGGTCTCATCTTCCATTGGTTGTCCTAAGGATCTAGAAATATGGACAAAATTTCCTTTGCAATTTCATCATGATTTCTATTAAGGAAACTGTAGTTCTTTCATATAATCGAAGTGACTTCCTTCGGTTAGACACTTTCTTTGGCCAAGAGCATAATAGTTCCAATAGCCAGATATCCTACAGAGCATTTAGTGTGACGTAGCAGGTTGGTGTTTTAGTAGCCCAGAACGGGCCGTTCCCAATCTGGAACGGGCCGTTCCAAGCTATTAAAATGGCCAGAAAATCATAGCAGAGAACGGGCCGTTCTGGTTTGAGAACGGGCCGTTCTGGAAGGGAGTACGGGCCGTTCTAGTTGAAGAACGGGCCGTTCTGCATGTAATTTTTGTACGTGTTGAGGGGGTGCAGAACGGGCCGTTCCGGTTTCGGTACAAGCCTTCTGGCCACTCCGAGATGTCTATAAATAGGGGCTGTGGGCAGTTGAGGGGAGGAGGTTTTTTTTTTAGAGACAGGTTTTAGAGAGAAGGGCTCTGGACTGGGAAGCTGACCTTTGAAGGATTGAAGTTCCGAGCTGAGCTTCGGAAAGGGGATTCTGCTTCTTGGCTGTCCTGATCCAGTTTTTTTTAGAGAGAGGTTCTAGAGAGAAGGGCTCTGGACTGGGAAGCTGACCTTTGAAGGATTGAAGTTCCGAGCTGAGCTTCGGAAAGGGGATTCCGCTTCTTGGCTATCCTGATCCAATCTTCAGGTAAGGGAAGCTAGTTGAGGTTAAGTTGATAAGTTTTTATAGGTGTGGACATGTTTATGTTGTAAAGTGGTTGATTTTGCTGATTAATATTGTTAATGCTGTATGATGAAAAGTCGAGTTGTGAAGTATGTTGTTTATGCTGTTAATGATGTAACGCTGAGCCGTACTGTATGATGCTAATACTGAATTTCGTTGTTGAGCTGATTAATGATGAGTTGTGCTGTGGGATGTTCATGTTGAATCATGATATTTAAGTCGTCTTGTATAATATTGAGCTGTTTTGATGAAAACGGGTTTTCGGGGTTTCCGAGGTTTTGATGAAAATCTTGAGGTTTTCTTGATTGTGGCTACATGTGGGTAAAGCTGGGATCTTTGAGATGGTTGATGAAAATGGGAACTCTTGGCTGGATTGCATGTTGGTTTTCTAACTGTTTTTGCAGGATTTGGTGAAGTTTTTCAAAAATAGAGTGTTGCTGCTGAGCTTCGCGCTGGGCGCTGTTCTTCGCGCCGGGCGTGTGACCACCAGAAGACTCTATTTAGGCAAGCCCGCCGGGCGCAAAGGTGTGTGCGCCGGGCGAGCTTGAGAATGAGAGTCTTTGGTTGGCCCCCGCCGGGCGTGACTTGAGCTACGCCAGGCTCGATATCAATGGTGATCTGTTTTGGGTGTTCTGGTGCCGCGCTGGGCGCGGAGGCTCCTTTGGAGTCTCTGTCAAGAGGGCGCTGGGCGCAATGCGAATTGCGCCGGCGCTAGACCTTGGTAGGTCTCTGCCTTCCCCACGCTGGGCGCGGGTTAGGCCACGCCGGGCGCGTGAGACTCCTTGGAGTCTCTGCCTGGTATGCACTGGGCGCAATCTGAATTGCGCCAGGCGCGTGAGAGTCTTGGGCTCTCTGGCTGAGGCACGCCAGGCGCGGGAACTCTTGAGCCGGGCGCGTTGGCCCCTAGTACTCTCTGGTTGAGCCGCGCTGGGCGCGACCATGGGTGCGCCGGGCGCGTAAGAGGATGTTGACTTGATGTGCTATTAGCTGTTAAACTTTGCTGAAATTGTTGAGAAAGGTTGTTTTATGCTGAGTTGAGCTGTAGTTGTTAAATATTGTTGTGCTAACTAGTTGATAACGCTAAATTATGCTGTTGAGCTGAAATTGACGAATATGTCGTGCTGTTAGATGTTATTGCTGATTAAGGATGTTTAGGTTGTGTTGTAAGTAGTTTAGCTGAGTCGTAAGCTGCTAATTGTTGTATGCTGATATTGTTGT